TAATTTCTGAACTTCTGTCTGTATGTCGCAGCATTAAGTTCGAAACGTTTCAGCAAAGCCTGACACAATGCATCATAATCAGTCTCAGTACCGGTGGGCATCCGTTGATAAATCTCGTATGCCTCACCCCTCAAACCTTGAGCCAACTTCAGCGTGTACATATTCCTTTCCAAGTTGTACAAAGATGCCAATTTACCAAATCGGTCTAGGTACTGTTCAATATTTTCAGCCTTCGGGTCAAAGACTGGCATAGGAAAGTTCATCGCTTGAGCTGAGTTACTGTGCGTTGATGCACCATCAATATCAGGTGTTGGAGATCTGGGTCTATTACCCTCTCTCTGAGCCTGAAGTTCCAATTCTCTTAACCTCACCTCCTGTTCCAACTTCATTCTTTCTGACTCCCTCTCAGACTCAAGTCTGAGTCTCTCAGATTCAATGCGGAGTCTTTCGCTTTCCTTCTCTGCCTCAATTCTAAGTCTCTCACTTTCCTTCTCTGCTTCAATTCTGAGTCTCTCTGCCTCACGGGCTTCCATCCTCATCTCACGTTCCGTGGTTTTAATCCACTCGGTCATTTCTTTACCCTCCAATCCCATCTGGACAGCCATGTCCTTCAATTCCTGTATGGAAATTTTTGACTGCGACATGCTGTCTTGTCAATCTAACAGTCCACAACAAAATATATTGTCACCAACAATGTAAATATAATCAACAATAGATTAAATTATCTCCACCAACCAAGGTTGTACCTAACCCAATGTACTTAGACACCACAAAACACCACAATGATTACAAATCACTCCTAGGAGTATACTCTAAGAACTGACCCAGAATGGTCACAACTGTGTTAACAAAAAACAAACACTGAACAACTCCTGGCCAAGATCACCAGCAAATTTAAAGATTGAACAGTGTACAAAACAATCCCACGACGAGACCACAGATTTTTGGGGATATGTTGTTCTGTCACATATCACTCCTGTCGCGTGCCTAATGTAAGGATTTCTCCTTCAGAACCAGCAGCACTCAGAGATAATTTTGTTGAGTCGTTTGGCTCGTATTGGTCTAAGGGATTCCCCGTGGCCAATATACGATCAACTTATCTCTGGAGTAGGGCAACTCAAGTATTGGCACTACAAAATATGTCAATATATATATATATATATAATATTTCTAGGCACACTTGGCTGGACACCCCCACTACTTACTAAAGAAAGCCCCCAGGTTATGATAGTTCATTATCATAACCATGTTAACACATATAATGAAGATACACATACATACACAACTGCTAAACACTTAAAAAGGTGAAATAGAGACACCTAAGTCAGCCATAAAAATGAATGTATGTAATCAATATAAATTAGATATATAAAAGTGAGACAAATGCCAGATCTCAGGATATCATGTCCAAATCAAACAGATACTACACAGACAGAAGGTCTTGGAGATGACATCTTTTCATCACTGGACAATCTAGGAGCTGTGAGGAACACAACATCATGCGAAGCATTAGACTTATCTTCTCTTCTCTCTGTCTATGATGCCTCCATCAGCTCCGGATGATTTGATTGTCTTTGACTCTGGGAATTCTGCTCCACTGGATCAAGTAGTAAGAGTACTTCACTGTACAGCAACTGTACCGGTATTTAGCAAGTCTCTATCACCAGTAAGGACACACAATGTCTTTGAGCCACATTAAGCTCTAGTACTGGTAGCTGTTTGAGGCACCATCTCCCATGGGTTGGAGATGTCAGGAACCTTCACAGGTGTTAGCTGGTGGGTAACAAGTTGGTTCTGGTGGTTGGATGGTTGGTGGATGTTGGTGAGACTGTGAATCTTCTGCCAGCTCTTCAGAAAATATACATCCTGTCAAGAAAATAACTCAACATTAGTCATCATCAAGCGGGTAACATCTTGACAGGAAAGACAGAGCAAGCATCAGTCATCAACCCCCATCTGCTGACTCCTCCCTGCTCTCCTGTTTCATTCCTCAGATTGCCTCTCCAGACCAAAAGACATAAGTCTCCTATATTTATCTGTCTGTTTAGTGCAAGAGAAGGCAAGTCAGATATACAGTGGAGATAGATAAAGTGGTCTAACACATATATCACTCTCCCTATCCCCCTCACTCTGCACACAAACACCAATATTTACCGTCAGTACCTGCATTCCCTAGCTTTCCCAACCGCCCCAGCACTCATTGATCTGGGTCAAGCACACACATACTTTGATTAACACAGCCCTGACCCAATTCTGTCCCCATTTCGTATGTACAGATCCTGTAAGTAGTTTAAAACGTACACAATTGTAAGGGCATTAAATGTTTATCAGTATGGGTGGTTTATTGAGGGCATAAGCTATTTAGTCTGTACAGTGGAAGATCTACGTTCGAATCCGCTTCTCTAGCGATCAAGAACAGTCGAACTAAGTGAGATAACACAGCCGATACTAATTTCTCTACAGCAGTGACTACTTTACAGACATCATTCTATGTACTCGTAAACTATAATTAACTTACCCAAGCATATGTAAAAACTGAGACATTTCCAGATTGCCTTGAAAAGTGAAAGTTATACAGGCACAGATTAACACATCTGGATGCTTGAGAAGCTGGCAAGGAGAATAGCGTCGCTTAGACACTTCAGGCGTTGGTACAAAAGAAGTTCCCTGTATACTGGGGCAAGGAGTAAATCGGTTTCCAAGAAACCTCAAATAACTCCCTAAATATATCTCTAAGAGATATACATTTAAAAGTGGAGTTTAGTTAAAGTAACCAGAAAAGGCAGACATAATAATGTTGTCCAATACAGGCCTATATATATAGATATAAGGGACTATATATTTCTGGGCGAGTCCAAGTTTGAATTTTGTGCAGATTACAGGTAAGACAGGTTATCAGCCTTACAGACCGATGCGTAATGGCTATCATTTCACGACAGTGGTCGCTACTCATGGCTGATTCATGATGACCTTGTCACCTATCTCACACAGTGAAACTCTCTGCCATTACCTTTAGGATCATACATCTGTATCATACTAACGTATTGTACCTGGTAGTTGTACACAGTTGAAACTTGCAATCGAAGACATTCATTTCTGGTCTTGAACGCGTCTTCAGACGTTCTGCATTCTCATCAATTGTTCTCTCGCATACGACCGCACACATCCAGGTCTGAACTTCAACTGCCTTCCTACCCTCTTAGGGTTCATATCTTCCGTTCCAGTTTCACGATTTCATCGTATCCCTCATTCACTCACCACGGGATACTCGAGACCTGCTTATCTCGCTTTGTTCTTGTTTCAAAGGTCCTCTGACCTTGCTCCCCAATCGGAAACTCTCTGGGATTTTCCCGGGAATTCACAACATTACAATCATATATGGGTTTATAGACTAGGTATCAAGGTAGACGCTCTAAGAAACACTGTGAATGCCAATAATTCACCGTCCTTTCAAGCAAAGACTACGACAAACTATAGTGGTGACCTGGTGGAATTCACAAAGTTAAAGTTAAAGTCGAGAGAATCGACTTCACTGCACCAGTTTTTAATGACATATGGCTCTCTCTCTCTCTCTCTCTCTCTCTCTATGCACAACGGTTTGCCTCTCTTGAGAGCATCGCACAGAGCACTAAACCCTTAGCTCCAGCAACGATCCACAGGGATGTCCGTAAAACTGAAGGGCTCAGCCGTGGAGCTAGCTCACGACTTTCAGAGCGCGAAAAAAACGGTTTAACCACAGCTTTTTGTTTGTTTGTTTGTTAATTGGCTCATTGTTGTTACTGTCGTATCTATCCTGATGTTGATTTCTTGGTCCAGATTTTGTTTGTTTTTCACCATGTTACCAGATAGGTAAAGCCAGCAGTCTCCTGCTCTTCGCCGTCAGTGCAGATTGCAGATCTGTCGTCATAATCTTTGTCTGTGTGTGTGTGTGTGTGTGTGTGTGTGTGTGTGTGTGTGATTGTTAGTCCAGTTTCACAGCATACATGAACAAACTATGTACGCGCTATATCCAATACCCTTCTCTTTATGTGCTCACACTCAGACTAAGCCGTAAAACATCAGTTTTGTTGTGGATGAAGTATAGCACTCGTTTTGTTTATGGTCATATTAGTGTTGCCTAAATGCGGTCTCAATAAATTGTTAATCTCTCGCCTATAGCTGGCGTTAAGTTTAAGATACACAACAAAACTGACACTACACCCCAGTGTGGCAAACGTATAAGCCAAGGCCCACAACAAGGTACTGAGATTGTCTTGGTTACCCTTTGACACCCCTGGGAAAGTATAATACAACACCGTTGTTATCATCTTTGGAACATTACAGCATGTCAGAGTTATGGCCAGAAACAGAACAACCTTCACCATTCTTCTCTCTCGATTAGATAATGGTGATGAATGTTTAGGGTAGACTGCATGTTGGCTCTCAGCTCTATTTTCAGATTCATATCTGACGATATATCTTACTTTGGAGGAAGTTTCTAATGAATAACCCATCCATACAGCACAGACTATTACTACAGCCTGGGATAACATCCACAACGACACTCCAGCTGTGATGTCAAGTATAAAGTTCACTAGCAATATTTCTGGATTGAAATTTCTAATTATGACGCTTTCAGATGTTCCTGCCGTCGTGTTATTTCCTGAGAGCAATGTAATTTCAAAGCATTTTATTCTGTCGTCTGAGTAAATAGGAATATGCACATTAATGTGTACAACGTAGATAGTCACTGTACCAACAACACAACGAAATCTTGTGAAAACCTGCTTAACTGTGAATGGAGAAACAACACAATAACATCTCTCAATAGAAATCATAGCGGTGATCCAACAGGAGATCTCGTAGACACAGCTTATAGCCCAGCCTAGCATGTAATCGCCCACATACCTGGCGTCGGTGCCAAGGTCAACAGACACAAGATCAGTTACGAAGAAAACACAACTTACAAGTTGAACAGCTGTAACCATAAAGTCGGTCAGTGAAAGAGAAAACAGACCAACACTCATGCTGTCTTTGAGGCCCAGTTTTGAAAAGATGATCATGTTGATGAGGTTGGTGACCACGCCAGCAACGGAGATGATGGAACGGACAACAACGTTGACAAAGATATTGATGTATATCATGCAAGAATCGCTAATTACCTGAGACATGTCTGTCGTGACTGCACTAACTTCAGAATACTTGGTCTGCGAGCTTCAGGATTTTACTGGGACTGTTTCTCAACAGTTCTTTTTTCCTTCTTCAGATTGAAAGATGATTCATGATAAGGCCGACGTGGTTAGTGCCTTGTAAGAGAGCTTGTACAGTTCGGAGGAGCAGATGGATCACCACAGTCTGGTGAGATTGATGCAACGGGAAGTGACGAGAGGTTCCAGCAGATGCTCGAGGCTCAGAGGAAAGGCAAGACGGACGTTTAATCAGAATGCCATTAGTATCAGAACTCTTCGCTGGCTGCCGAAGATGGGGACGGAGCGCTTGTGGGAAAGCCAAAATGCTGTGATGTCTGTTCTTGAATCTTCTCTGTATGCATGCTGTGTGATTTCTACTAGTACAGGAGCTGTGCAGTTTTGATGAGGTTCGTGTGCAAGGAAGTTGGAACATGGACTAACGAATATATGCCCATTATGTCATGGGAAAGCATGTTACACACTTGCACTACCAAGACCGCGTGTGCTAATTGTGTTCATTGCTAACTTGTCAGTTTGTTAGCAAAGTCTGTTCCAGCTGCTTTGTTTCTGCTTCAGTTTCGATTATTGCCACTAATGATCACTATAGGGCATGTATTAAACTCAGGTGTACTGTCTCAGATGCCACATTTTCAAGAAAGTTGTCATATCTCACATTACACAGATTAAACTCAGTTTTACTGTCTGAGCTGTCAACTTCGCAAACCTGGCGTCATATCTTTATTAAATAGATCGCTTCAAATGAAAACCGTAAAAGTATTATAGGAAAATATAATAACCATGTCATTGTTTTGTAATCTGTCAATATATCTGTTAAGGATATCAAGAGTGTTAAGCATTTGATATTATGCAGATGCAAACGGCGATGTAATAATATCACTTTGAAGATCATTGACATGGACCAAAAATGGGCAGCGTTCTGTTATCTTTTTTAAATCATGAAGGGGTGAAACCTGTAGAAGATGTGGTCTGTTGTGCGTCGGCTGATGTCAAGATGTACGGCATTGCCACTTACAGTCAATGGGTATTTCCCCATACGAGGCCTCCAGTGTGTGCAATCGACTCGAGGGTCACTACTCCATCTGGCTGACCCGGTGGTGAACAGTCTGTCACCGAAGTCACTTTGGGTTAAAACTTCTTACTCGCTCATAGACTTGCTGGACTGACAGGCATGCATCACCCATCTGGGAGCCTTTATTCACTGATGAATGAATATCTATAAGTTTAACCCCTTCATAAATTCGGAAAAAATTATTAGAGAACGCTGCCCTTCTTTGGTGCATGTCAAAAGTGAGGCGGCCATCTTTAAACAGTCGTTTTAAAGTTTATCTGCAGTGTGATGTCACGTGATTAACAAGCTTGACATCATCAACAACAATAGTGACATGTTACCGGACAATATCATGGTTACTGTAATTTCCATAACACTCTTAAGGTTTTTATTTAAAGCCTTCCGGTACAATGAGTAAATTCCGGTATGTGTCTTAGCTATCACCTTTCTAACAGTTGTGAAATAACTCAGATTAAATGGATTAAACTCTTGTCTGCTGTCTGAGACGATTTCTTTCCAGCAGCTTTAGATTCATTCACCTTACGAAATGTATCTTCAATTTGTACTTCATATTTATTATCCGGATTGTAACTTCACCACGAACACTATATGCAGCGGTTTACACGAGTTTCTTTATGCCTGGTTTATGTAGCTACTCCACTGATACTTTACCAGATATTGACTGTCAGTACATAAATACATAACAACTGGCTGTGAATATTAAATTATCACCCATATCAGAAGAAAGTTATAACTAGTCCCTGACTTGAAGCCATTATTTGATGAATAACTGGTGGCTTTAGTCTCTGTATAAAGGAAAATATGATTGCCTAATAGGCCAACTCAGTGTCTAATGCGTGCAGTTATAATACTAGAATACCAGAATGAACACAAAAAGACGTCTGTGAAACTCTGCAGATGAAAAAAAAATAATACGATGGATAAAAATCACAATTTTTGGTAATATAGTAATTTCTTGTTTCAGTAGCACAACACGTAGATCACATTTGGATATCATTATTGCGAGACAGTCATGTTTCCCCCAATGTTACGGCTGTTACCTTTGTCGATAATCTCTTGGAAGCTGCAGTAATAGAACGAAGCAGTTTATTGACACATCAAACAGTGTGGTTTTGCTTGCTCAATTTTTCAATTATTCATTTAAGGGCTTTTTCATGTCACTGGAGTTAAGTAAGTACTGGGTCCCGTTACGACTAATAGGTCTACGTCCAACTGATAGTGTTGCATTTTTATCCTTCAAACAATTCCCTTCTTCTCCCCCCCCCCCCCCCCCCCCCCATTCATTCGGGTTATAAAAACTGTACATACAGCAGTCAATGTATGTACGTATAATGATTGTACCTAATATGAAAAATGCATTATATGTACTCTATTGTATCACTTCCGATACTCTACTTAACATTAGCATTGTAGTTATCTTTCTTAATTTACTACCAATATTGATATTATTATCTATTATTTTTATTATTATTCTACGCCTTAGCACAAGACACAATCGACATTGCAGCCACATGTACACAAAATTTAAGATTGGTGAATCAGCCATGTATACTTGCGGATTGGCACCTGGTACAGCAGATCACCTCCTCCAAGACTGTCCCAGATACAACATATCAAAGCAACATTTTTGGCCAAGAGAAACATCGGTGCAAGCCTAACTTTAGGACCTGCATACGTGCGTATAACCAGTGGTCTGCAACCTATGGGACGCCCCCTCTCCCCGACCCATTTCTGATCCTGACATAGAGTCTGGTTGCAAAGTTTGTCCCTTTTTGTCACTTGGACCTCCTTTCTCAAATATCTAATTTCTGAGGCCTCAAGTTAGCTTCTGTGAGCTGATGTCATTGCCCATGCCTCTCACCCGTAGTTCAGGACTGGCACATAAGTAGAGCCGTAAACAGCCATTTTCGTATTGTCGTCAGTTTCTGTTTGTTGCTAATTAACCCTTGGTTTATGGCATGGAAAAGTCTCCCGGCTGCTGCTCGAGTAGCCAGCTCTGTTCTAATGCCTCTATTCTAGTCTTTTTCAACTCCAAGATATTTCAACAGGTTGACAAGTGAAGTAAAAAAAAAAAAAAAAAAAAAAAAATAGAAGACCCTCTTCCCCGTCTTTAGACGTATAGGGCATATAGGGCTAGACCTATATTTTTTATAGATCAATCGGCACAAGATAGGTTATGTTGTCAGTATCACGCCGGCAGGCTGACAAGCTCCAATACGTATTGTCCCTTCGGTGTGATGACGAGTCAAGAAAACTAAACAATGCAAGAGAAGAGACAAACTTGATTACCTCCAAAGACAGGTATCGGAACCTGGTGGCTCACACATTGGTGCCCTCATCTCTAGACATTTTGCAATGGGGCTAATTGGCCCCTTTTACAATAGATGTTCTCTTTTCTTTTTAATTAGTTGTTTATATAAGCTAATTGCGTATCCTTTACAGGACGTTGCCGAACCAACCCCAACAGCCCCTGGTTGTTGTGTTTTTTTTTAAAAGGCAAATTTACGTCCAGTAAGTTGCCATTGCCTCTGGACGGTCGGCTTTCTTGATAACACTGTCGAAACCAAAGCAAGGCGCATGGCCCGCAGCTGGGATCCCGGGATCCCGGCATTACGAAGCGTTCGCATCGACTTAGCCACAGAGCCGACAGTTGTTTATATACTTTATATTATTTCAAATGTAATATTAACATTTTTGCCATTCTAATTTTAATTGGGCACTTAAACAAGGCCTAATTATTATGAATCCCGCCCCTGAAAATTATATGGGACATAACCACCCGCCCCCTCCCCCACCACCCCACCCTGAATTTCTTGGTTACTGTCCGCCCGCCTGTATTGTCCTAATAGAGTTTTGCAGGGATAAAGCGATGTCACACTCAACTCTTCACGTCTGTCAGCGTCATTTTAAACGACTATTCAGTTGTTTTCTACGATGTTCACAGAGGCATTACTGCCTCTGAAGGATCTTTTTTCGGCCGACGTTTACACACGGTCATAAGCTTGTCACAATATAGTCCCTCCCTAACCGTCTGCCTGTGTTTAGAAAGACTGTCCTTCTAAGAAAACGTAGACCATGCGATGACCAAAAAAAATCAGGAATGCCATCAGTAAAAGAGTCTCGGTTCCAGTGAATAGTTCCGTCATCCATAAAGCATGCCATAATCACAGTTAACCATACACAGATAGGAAGACACGAATATGTGCAAAATGAAACCATGCGCGGTTTTTTGGAGTGCACGAGAGACATCTTTTTGGCAACAAAGAGATACCTTCTTGACTTTCCGGCCATGCACCATATGATCAAAATATAGACGGCTCATGGACTCCTTAAGATAGGTGGAAATCTAAAACATTCTTTATTTTATGTGCTTTTCGATGAATTCAGTAACAAAAAGGAAAGAGACAAATCGTGGCTGGTAGGACAGAGCGCGATATCATACAGAACTGCAGCTTACAGACATGCATTACCGTGAGGACTAGATATATGTGCTTCTATCACTCACTACACTTTCCATTGTATTGCTGCATTTGATAGTTGTCAGGAGAAGAATCCCGTTGTTTCAGTGACAGCTCAGATAAGGCATATGTGCTTGACTACACAGACAGTTCCAACCTACTGCGGCACAAAAGTGCATGAGTATTCTCAGAAATTTCAAGACAGAGCAGTCAAGGACACCAGCAGTGCCTTCTGTACACCTACTATCTGCTTAAAGATGGAAGTGATGGCGGTGACTGAAACCACAGGACCTATCCCACGTGTGTGTACTGAGTGATTCTGTGAGCATGATCCAACTAGACGAGGCTGGTTCCCTACGCCCACAACTGATTGGATCACTGCAAAAGATCATGTGGGCAGTCATTCTTGTGTCCCATTGCATGCCTGTGTTGTTGGCAATGAACAATAAGATAGACTGACAGGCACAGCTATATGTGCAGGTCGTTGGCCTGTGGCTCGCACCGATGGTATTACTGAATTCAAAACAGAGTGAGATCGAAGAAGTTTGGGAGCAATGCGTCTACATCGCTGTCAAGAAAATTAGGTGTAAAAACTTTCACAGCCATGCATGAGATGTACGCCAGATGTCAGAGAAGTCTTGTCAACCAGAAAGGAACGGGCACTATTAGGCGGAGAACGTTGGAACGTATCTTGAGGAGAAATCTGAGCACCTATGGACGTATTCATGGAGATCTGGAGACAACTAAACTCATGACCATATAAGCGCCAAGAAGTGCAGACGTGTAACTTGTCGTGCCAAATCTGTTCGATAGATTTATTGTTTGAGATAACCACATTTACACGCTGTCTGTCTGTCTGTCTATCATAGAGGGGCCATATCGTCCCATTGTCGGCGTGACAGTATCGTCTTTATGAAGGCTGAGTATCAACACGACGGTCTGAGCCTACCCAACATTACAATATGGTCCTGGCGAAAACGGGACGATATGGTCACCCAAGTCTGTCTGTCTCTCTGTCACAAGTCTGTGTGCCCAATTCTTATCCTTTGAAAATAAAGCGTGTTAGTTTGTTGCTTGTTCGTTCATGTGTCTTATGTCTTAATGGCTTTTGCAATCCATAGTTAACAGACGTGTCTAGAAAACTATTCTGGAGAATTGTCTCTGGGTTACTGTTAATTCCACAGCAAATGGCTGGACGCAGAAAACATATGCAATTCTACTAAATACACTAATAGACTAGGTTCCCCCACACACAAAATGTCTTCGTTAGGTTGTGTTTTTAGTGCACTTGTTTCCATAGCAAGGCGCACACGCCGTTTGGAGGGGACAGGTCCAATTCCCGGCACGGTAACTATAGCTTTCGATGTGTGGTTTTGTCTAGTGTGTCCTTCTACCTTTCTACTTCTTTTTATGAGTGCCGATCAATACATTGTCTCTTTGTTAATTGTATAAATAACACAAATGGGCTTATCTAAGTTGGTTCATCACAAACAAGACTCTGCTGTAGTGCGTTTCCAAATTCAGGTCGTCAAACTTTAACAAAAATCTCCAAAATTCCTGTACGGATCAACACGAATTTCTGCATCCGGCCTTGGATTTCCCATGTCTTTATGATTCTTTAACAGACATTGCACAGATTCTGTTGTTTTCTCAAAGTGGCGAATTTCTTTGATCTTTGTTTGATTTGTTATGTCTATACCCATAACAAAAAGAATATAAAATACGGACACACGAGTAGAGATTGTTTGGAAATCCTTCTCGCATGTGCAGCGATGCGTGGTGATTATTTTGAAAGCCTGTTCCCCAATCAATGAAAAATCCTGAACTCACAGTGGAGTTATGCTGGAGATGACCACCGGAGAATGAAACGTGTGCAATCTGATGTTTTGAAAAGTTCTCCTTACTCAGTTTACTCAAGTACTGTAAGCATGCTGAGTGTTCGTTTTGAATCGCTGTCTATTTTTATCTACTACAAACAAGCAAAATGAAAGCTAGAAGTGTGTTTTACATTTGAAAATTTTTATTTCTCATTAAAGCATGATTATTAACAGGTTCCATGGCAAATTTCAACAACTTGCACGGAACGGTTGCTGAGTTGAAAAGTTTTTAAATTCTGCAGGACTTCAGAAACAAACTATAAAGAGTAGCACAAGTGAAACTTTCCTAAAGCCTGTCACAAGCAAAACTTTCCTAAAGCCTGTCACAAGCAAAACTTTCATAGAGCGTATCACAAGCAAAACTGTCATAGAACGTATCACAAACAAACCAATATCAGAACGTATCACAAGTGAAATCTTCCTAGAACCTATCACAAGCGAAATCTTCATAAAATGTATCCCAGGTGAAATATTCCTAGAACGTATCACAAGTAAAATCTTCCTAGAACCTATCACAAGCGAAATCTTCCTAGAACGTATCACAAGTGAAATCTTCCTAAAACGAATCACAAGCGAAATCTTCCTAGAACGTATGACAAGCGAAATCTTCCTAAACGTATCACAAACGAAATCTTCCTAAAACGTATCACATGCGAAATCTTCCTAAAACGTATCACAAGTAAAATCTTCCTAAAACATATTGCAAGCGAAATCTTCCTAAAACGTATCACACGCGAAATCTTCCTAAAACGTATCGCAAGCGAAATCTACATAAAACGTATCACAAGCGAAATCTTCCTAAAACGTATCACAAGCGAAATCTTCCTAAAACGTATCACAAGCGAAATCTTCATAGAACGTATCAAAAGCGAAAGGGGTGAAAGGGGAGGCAAATCAACCAAGATATTTTTTTGTTTTATATCAACAGATAAAAGTAAAATAAAACCAAAGAATAAATGTTAAATTTAGTAGCTGATTGATAATGTGTAATTGTGACTTGAAAGTAGAAAATTAACACACACACACAAAACACACACACACACACACACACTACGAAGTCAATTTTTTATAAACTTTTATTTAAAAGACATCATATAATCAATGTAAAAAAGACATACATTATTTATCATGTAATTCAATGGATATAGAAAAGCAAACAATTTTCCTTAAAAAATGCACCTACAATTTGCCAGAAAAAGAAACACTATATAAAACCTGTCGTTGGTTTTAATATTTTGAAAAGTTGATAATGCTACAAATTCCAGTGTACAACCACGTAGCCTTTGTCTGTATACGAACTATGTTAGACACCGCCCTTTACAGTCTCATCATTTATCTGTCAGGGTGACACACTCTTGCCATCGAATTGGTGTTCATACTGATCACAGTTCTATTCAAGTTGACTTTAAACGGTGTTAATATGTTCTTAAACTCACGTCTAAAGCTGGCGTTTAGTTTCAGGTAGACAACAAAGCTAACGCTACATCCCAAGGTAACAAACGTGTAAGCCAAGGCCCACAACAAGTTGCTGAGATTTCCCTGTTCACCAATATGCACGCCTGGAAAAGTATAATACAACACCGTTGTTATCATCTTTGGAACATTAAAGCCAGTTAGTGTTACCGCTAGAATCATGACAACTTTCACCAACCTTCTCTCTCGATTAGATAATGTTGACGAGTCTTTAGAATTAAATGCATGTTGCCTTTCATTTGTATCTTTCGATTCGTGTCTGACATTACGTCGAACTCTGGAAGAGGCTTCTAAAGAGTAACCCAGCCATACAGCGCACACGATTATCACAACTTGGGAGATCAACCAAAGGGAAACCCCTGCAGTGAGGTCCACTATCAATTCCACTAGCATTATTTCGAGATTAACGCTTTTCTTTAAAATACTCTTTTCTGATATTCCCACAGTCGTGTTATTTCCCGACAGGAATATACTTTCTATCCATTTTATTCTGTCGCTTGTGTAAATAGGAACATGCATGCTAAAGTATACAATGTAAATAGTCAAGGTGACAACAAGACAACGGAATCTTGTGAAAACTGCCTTGACTTTGAACGGGAAAACCACACAGTAACACCTCTCTATAGATATCATAGCCGTGATCCAACAGGAGATTTGGTAGACACCGCTTATAGCCCACGCCAGTGAATAGTAGCCTAAATACTTCTTGTCAACGCCAGCGTTCACACACAGAAGATCCATTACAAAAGTAACAGCACTTGCAAGTTGGATAACTGTCACTAGAAAGTCCGTTAGTGAAAGAGAAAACAGACCCACACTCATGCTGTCTTTGAGACCCAGTTTGGAGAAGATGATCATGTTGATGAGGTTGGTGACAACGCCAGCAACCGAAATGACGGAACGGACGACAACGTTAAGTGAGATGTGAAGGTATATAGCAACATCATCACTAATGACTTGAGACATCTTCTTTGTGTATCATCCATTCAAAGTGAGAGCATAATTAATTTATTAAACAATCAGTCTCTATGAGAATTCCAGTGCACTTAACAAACGCAATGGGGTTTTAACACATTCTTTCGTTTAGAAACATTCTTGGCTATATAAATCTCAGATCTTTAGCACCTCAAATGATCTATTACGATCTACTATTGCACTACATACACGCTACATACACGGTAATCCACAAAGAATATCTATGTACAATTGAAGTCTATAGCTTATAAAGAAATAGTTTTAAAATTGAAGGCAGGAATTTTGAAATGACCAACACGAAAGCGATCTTTTTGAAAGAAAAGTTAATAAAAAACAATATAACATCTAGGACCTTTAAGCATAATTAAAAAGCGTGTGAAGTCAAAGTTACATTTTCAGTTCTGAGTCATATTTGGTTTGTCGCTTTAGCTCTGTCAATTTATAGATCTTCCGGTCAAAATGGACGCTATGCACGGCCATTGTTGTGAGCAGTGGCAAATGTTTTGCTTCTTCCAGAGGGTGTCTGCTGCATTTGTGCTTCATTTGTAGACTGAAAGGGTATAGTTTCGTCGACCAGCTTCTGGGGCTGAGTGCATGGCGTGACACTGTGAGCTACGAATTTCATTTGGAATGTTTTTCGACTGTGACCAACGTGGTGGTGTGAACTGTAGATTCAGAAAATGGCGCCATACCTGTTGTCGCAAAATTGGTGGTGCCATTATGTGATTAAAATTGATTGCATGTGCAACTGCTGCTCTGTTGGTGACTTCTGCTACCATCCATGATGAACTGCATTTCTAATGTCGGACTGTTTGTGTTAGCACTTCGGAAGTCTACCCTATGCTTTTAGTGCGTGTGTATGCTAGTGCTAATGCTGAGACAGCAGTCTGTCAATCTTTCCACAGGGGACTGAGATAAACATTCTGTGTGTTTTTCATTGGCACAGGAGCGAAGCAACTATGGGGTGACCTGTTTGCTATGATGCTGAAACTAAGATTACCAGATTATCACATAGATCAGACAACACTGGTTTGGTCATATGATTAAAACTACACTGGCTGTTTTTACTTCCTTGGACATTTCCAGATATTTTCATCAGGGTAATTTGAACTGGGAGCCATGAAAATAGCTAACTATATGGAGGATTCGAATACAGTTGAACCTCGGTTCTAGTGAATTCCTTTTTGTAACAATCCTGTTTTTGAAAAACATTTCTAGAAAAGGGGTGGTGGGGGTGGGGGAGGGGGGGAGATGATGTCTTGGTTTCAGATTTAAAAAAATCCAGGTAAAAGTAACGGTGATCTCTCCACCCCCATCCCCCCCGCCCATTTACATACTAGCTTACTATTGAGTAATACTTCCTAAACCTGTTATCTCGGCAAAAGGTTACAGGGGTGTTCCGCAATGCCATTTATATCGCGTGTTGTATATTTCAGCACGCTAGCGCTTTGAACACCCTAAAAACATGAATAAACTTCTTCTAACACCCACCACCTCAGATAGTGCTGCAACCTTTTTCACATGCTTTCTCTTTCTCGGAATGAAAACGTAAATGCAAGACATCACTGAAAGCAAACAACAGAGTGGGACTCATCCGAAACCTTTAAAAAAGTCGACCAGTCCAACAAACCTGTGAATGAAAAGTGACCTACTCTATTTGGGGAGATTTCCGCGAACCAAACCAAAAACACGGTTTTTGATCGGCCAATTCTGACGAAAAAATTGCCAAAAATGAAAAGGACAACCTATTTCCCGAGGAGGGATTAATGCTACACCTATGAGCAACCCATGCACTAGCCGGTCATTGCACACAAAGACATTCAGGACAAAGCTTGTTTGCAATCGACTGAGAGGACCACGAACTGCCTGGAAATAGCTGTGACCCGACTGTAAAATAATTCTCTAGACAAAAGGATAGGCTTGAAAGTTGACTGCTGAAGTAGAGAAATTAGGACCACATGGATGTGCTTGCCTATGAAGAACCAAAATACTTCCAGGAGAAGAAGAACAATGCTGTGGTGAATGACACTTCATGTTTAGTGGAAGGAAGGAAGGATGTTCATAGTTCTTTGATCAATGAAATGTGCGGGAAATTAGATAAAATACAAAGTTTTGCGGAAAGATACTTCTAATTGTTTTCTTCTTTTCTTTACCATGGAATGCTTTGCAGCGGAACACCACAATATCTAGCATGAGAATGGAGGCGGAGGAGGTACTGCAGCTCTCCTGTTGGCTAGAGAACAAGCTGAATAAACATGTTGTAATTGTAGCAGACTCTTAAAGGTGAAGACAGGGATGTTTCGAGCAGAGTGGCAAGCTTTATTGGAAATGTCACAGGTAGTGCGCAGACTTTGTTTTATTTCTGCAGGCTATGCTGGCGTAGTTGGTAATGAACAGGCAGACAGATTGGCTAGATCTACACAACTAGGTTGTGAAATAATACATGATAAGGCAGCTGTGATCAAGTCCCTTCGAAAACAAGCAACAGAGAATCAGTAGAGATAGAAGATTATTATGGCCTGGAGAGAATGAGGCATCTGGACGTAACCAGAGAGTTTCCCCTGCTGACTATACTCAGAGGAAAGGCAAGACGGACATAACACCAGATTGTGACCAGTACCATCAGTACTGGAACTCTGCGCTGGCTGCTAAACATGTTGACGGAGCATGTATGGGAATGCCCTGAACGCTATGATGTCAATTCTTGACTCAACTCAACTGCCTCGCAGCGTGAAGGTAGGAAGAGACCTCTGGAACGGGCCCATCTTTTTTCTTTCTTACATAGTACTTTTCAGTGTCCCCTTTATTTCCGGGGCTCATCTTCTCCCTGGTCGACCTCTGCCCCTTTACTGCTTGATATGTGGGACATTTCTCTCAGGGGCTCACTGTCTGTTGTCAGCCTTGTTACATGGCCAAACCATTTGATCTGTTGTCTAGCGATGTATGTCAGCGTTGTTTTTCTGCCGACTCATCTCATCATATGATCGTTCGTAAGTCGATATTTCGTTTTTACACCTAGTATGATAGTATGATATACATGAATGGTAGAATAATAAACAATCTGAGATATGCTGACGACACAGTGTTGCTAGCAGAGAGTGAGCAGGAGTTGCAAGACCTAAAGGAGCAAGTAAACAGAAGGAGTGCAGAATTTGGATTAGATATAAATTTGAAAAAGACAAAAACCATGATAAATAGCAAAGAAAATAATTAGCTAACAATGAATATCACACTGAACGGGGTGAAATTGGAAACAAGTTAAACATTTCTTATATCTTGGACAAGTAATAACATGTGACGGCAGAAGTGAAACAGAAGTCAAGAAAAGATTAGGGATGGCCAAAAACATTTTCAACAACATGCAAAAGATACTGACATTAAGAGAAATAAGCAATACATTAAAAATGAGAATTGTCAAATGTTATGTAATCTCAACCTTACTGTATGGCACAGAGACATGGACAATAAACAAACAACTGGAAAATCGTATCAATTCTTTGAAGATGTGGATATACAGAAGAAAAGGTCGTATTTCATGGAAACAAACGCTATCAAATACAGAGGTACTGAGGAAATTGGGAATGAAAAGAGAGTTGCTAGGTGAAATAAAAAAGAGACAAGTGAAATATTTTGGCTACATTAAAATACATAACAGTATTGTAAAGATCATCCTAGAGGGAAAGGTATAAGGTAGCATCAAGAGGTAGACGAACAGCAGTATGAGTGAGTGTACATCAAGGGTAAGAGACAGGGCTTGTTGGAGATCCATTGCAGCCAACCTTCATTGTGGTAGACCCTACGCCGTCTATCATGACGCTGCAACAAAAAAGAAAGATTCGTCATAAAACCAGACACGTATCCACTGATTGTTACTTGCCCAGGGACAATGTTGGTTGGCCCAAAGAAGTCGATTTTGGCGGTGGCGACGTGTAAAGGCAGTTCATCGGTGTGGTCGTGGAGCATAAAGTCCAACATCATGCAGTCTGTTCTGAACAGTTTCATCAGACACTTGACGTCCTGGAGGCAATGCCTGTGCAGTTGAGGAAGCTGCTGTAAACCTGTTTCTGAGGTGACGAAAAAAGCGTTTACCCGCTGCTGTTGTCACTCTGGGTCGTCCACTGCGATATCGGTCTTCAACTGAACCAGTGGCTTAGAACCGGTGCCAAAGTCGATTGATTGTAATCTGATGCACGTTTAGATGCCTGGCAATCTGACTTATACTTTCTCCTGCCTGCAATCGACTAAAAGCAAGATTCCTTAAATTTATTAGAGGCGCCATTCATGACTGCTTGAAAATGAACTGATCATTTTTGTGTACCGTTATCCTTTTATAGGGTTTCAATTGCCTAGGTAGTGAATACTGTTAACCACAAACTGTGTTGCTGTCTCGTGAGCACACCGTGAGCTATGCTCACAAATATGGTCTTAAACACATTTGACCGCTGCGTTATAACGATTACAAAGAACCCACGCAAGTCACGCCCAATTACTAATAAACTACATACATTCAGTAACTCATGACTGCGCAGAATAAAGGGAATTAGGTGATGTGATAGAATCATTTATGTGGAACTTTGAGGGAGAACTAAACAGGTTCCAGTGGATAAAGGGGTGAAAAAAAGGAGACACGTTGAAAAAGCCGGAGAACAGTATAAGTATAATGTCTTTGCACTGGATTCCACAAGGCATAAAAATAAGGGAAGACGAAAAAAAAAAAAACCCAGAGGAAAGAGCTAGAGAATGAAGTTAAAAAGACGAGGACGACATGGGGGGGGGGGGGGGGGGGGGGGAGCTGCATGCAATAGCGAATGATAGAACGACGACTTGGCGTGAGTTGGTTGAAGGCCTTTGCTCCATTGGGGGTTGGAAAGGCAGAAGAAAAAGACGAATAGTGTCTGAGAAGTTATTGCCTCAACATTCTTGTTATATCTTAGGTTTACCTCTCCTTACATAAACGTTGGTAGAGTACTCTGGTCATTGTGATGTATTCA